GGGTCGGAAAGCCGTACAGCACACCGAACACGAAACCTACATTCGTATGCATAAAGTACTTGGAAGACGTCACCTCCAAATTTTAGTCACTGCTCGGCCGAAAGAACATTCACTTTAACATCCCACCCTTCTGGCATCGCGACAGCAGAACGATCTCTAGATCCGCAAAGCTACTGTGCATGCTCGTTTGACCAGCGGATCTGCCCGATTGGCTGGTATTTCATTCATTCCCCGCTGAAAGATCCCTCGGTGAACTCTCGGCCCAAAAGGAACTGCCCGACCAGGATCTCTAACGTCAACTGCTTGATCCTCGGCGATGTTATTGTTGACGCCGGTTTGCTTCATCTCCTTGGATAAACCTCCGGCTGGGGGGTTTGCGAAAAGTGAAGACGATTGGCCTAGAAGGGTCGGCGCACACAATACTTTGGGTACATAGTAGATTGTTAATCGCGAAGAGCTGTTTGGCAGCCATAATGCTTGAATACCATTTCTTTGTTTGTTGAATATTAACATGAAAACTTGGAAGTTTGAAATTTGTCTGATCACTAAATTTTTGGCCTTGGCTTGTCACTTGTCCCTCTATAACACATAACATCCTCTTCATACCTTAAACGAGGCCAAGCAGAATTAAATCCCCACATTTGTCTTCCACTTGTCCAAACACAAAGCAATAGTCGCTATATCTAAGAATACACACGGTACCTCAAATCCCTCAAGCATAGGCAGGACCCCGCTTCCCTTGCAGCTCGGTCCACGTCTTCGGTGACGATGTTCTCGGTTGTAGCGCTTGCTTCTGCACCTTAGGATGGTATGTAACCGAGATTTGATTTGATTATTGAGGAGGGGTTATGTCGCTTGATGATGATTATTCTTGTTGAAAGGGCCATTAATTCGGGGAGCCAGATGCTCGTAGCAAACATTTCATAGAAGGTACTCCGTTGTTGTAGGTGAGACCAAGTAGGTGACTATGTGAGAAACTGGGCACCCCGATCGGGCAAAACCTGCGTTAGCCCCATTCTTCACAGCGTGAAGGTACGGTCCCAACGGATCAAGAGATCCTACACTAACCCTGCAGCTGAACAGTTCATCGGTTCGTACTGCATACGGATTATTTTAATTCCTCATTCCAGTCGGACATTTGGGCATCGAATGCGGAGTAACAATTGACCCAATAGCATCTGCATCTGTGCCAACCGAAAACCACCCTAATGAAACAACAGTCGCTACGAATTTGAGATTCGATCCCCCTCTCACGCGTTACAATTGACCCCATCCATAGCATTATCATCCTCCGGACCTGCAGTCTGGACTCAAATGATAACAGAAGAAATATCGGACGAGCCAAGAAGAATGCATAGTTGAAGAGACATCGGTAGAGAAACATCGAATAAAGCCTCTTCTACCATTCCAGCGCTAACCGTGACGTATACTCCCATCTGTGCAACATAGACGCGACGATGCACAGTATCTCGTGGCTGCACGGTGACCGTGATTTCATTGGTAGCGACATTCCCATCATATGCGGCAAGCCCGACATCGGGATTCTTGACGATGTACACAGCGGGTCCAAGCATCGTACCTAGGGAAGTTTGGACCGTGGTTACCTGAATAATCGTCGCCTTTTAGGGTATCAGGGAAGGAGCAGAAAGCATTGTCCATCAAGCCATCTTGTCAGATGTTAGATAGTGGTTTTGTAATTCTGCCCTAGCCAACTCGAAGGAGATGGGTGTCAGTGGGATTCTTGCGGAACTGGGATGGCAAGGGTAGTTGTGCATTGAGACTTGATCCGTGGTCATGGGTCATGCGCTTGATGCGCTATAACTTGCCGCCCTAGCTGGATGAGAGGCGAGTGAAGGAAAAAAAGCCAAGAAAGACCAACTGCAACAGGAAGATTGGGCTGGCTCTTACATTACTTCCCGATATCGCCGGGCATTTCCCCTTCATCTCCAATGCGGCACTGTAAGTTTTAACCCCGGGGCGCAGTTAACGGCCTTCGTTGCCATATTGGAAAAATTGAAAGGGCCGAATGAATTGTTAACAAGTCAAATCTGGTCGCTAGAAAGAACTCCAAAGAGCAAAAACATACTTGCTCAAGTGGTAGACTCCCTCTTGACCGGTCGAGTCCCAAGCCATCCCATGACCAAAGGGAACATGCTGCGTGTCCTACACCTCAGCGCGATGCTTCATAGCAGCCTCCGTAGAACCGGCCTCGACGGTCCAATTTTCACATCTCAGATCTGACAGAAGCTCACAGACGACAGCCTCGCCCATGAGTCCGAGAATGCGAGTACCCCACTAGCCCATCCTCCACGCGAGTCGGTGGCGAAACAGTTCACCGTGGTATTGGATGCTTGACCGAGATATCACTACCAAGTGTAAATTTCCAGAAGCGACCCATTGCCTGGACTTGCACGATGCGACGCCCAGTATGCCCTAATCACATGAATATAGTTGTAGGCACAATCTACATATAGCTTAGGAAGCTTCTTATTCCATGGCCACCAGTTGGCCCAGTCGAGAGGCCGATGGTATATGTATCCAAGGAATTGAGCAAGTTAGCAAAAGGGGACGCTGTTGAGGACGACGAGGAATGAGTTTTGGATAGTCTTAGACATATTGTCGGATGTAAATCATTCAAGTTTGGATACTTCTGTCGCATCAGCTACGTTAGATTGCTTCATTGCGCTGGCCAAGTAGGTCACGCCACCTTCGTCGCTTAATCCAGATATCCAGACTCGGGTTTGTTGGAGGGTATTAACTGGAAGACATTGAAAAGGCTAAATCGAAATCTTTCAAAATATCCACTGGATCAAGCAGTTCAAAGTCCACATGAGACTGAGTCAGGAAATCCAGCATGGTTGGTTGATGCAAAGCCATTTCTGTGGTGAGATACGGGATATTCAATTCAAAGAATGGATGACCTAGATCTTCCAAGGGACCGATAGAGGATAGGAGATACTTTGAACTTTGGTGTGGTCATAATCATCCAGAATCCGATTCTTGAGTCATCGGCTACGTATGAGCAACAGTTCCTGCGGCACCGTGAGAAAGCGCCGATGCGGCATATAGTGGGCTGTCGTGAAGACACCGACGAACGCATTGCATGCGTTCGTATAGGTCCCTTGAAGCGAGACCATCGGACAAGCTGAGATTCCTGAGAATTTCAGTTGCGGTTTCGGCCAAAGTCAAATCGCTTGGATCCGCGAGTGGCAGAAGACTCGAAATCACCAGAATTAACGCGACAGAGAAGAGCAAAGCGGGAAACGAGTTAGCCAAATATTGCCAAGGATCCGCCGGTCCATTCATTGACACATAACGCTAGCGAGTGTCTGGCTGCGTGTATACATGCTTCATCTAAAGTGACCAGGACGGGGGAAATGGAATCCATAGACTGGTTAGTTTGATCTTTCGTTTTTAAACCGAGAACATGAAGGAGGACTGGGCGAATTGCCAGGATGACGCACTAAAGTAGTCAGCATATGGTTTCGAGCGAGATCCAAGAAGAGTTGTGCTCTTACAACATTGAACCGAAGATGCATCTGAACAGTATGCTTCGAGTCTGGCTTTTCTGTACTGAGCCTCAGATGCTCAGGAAGAGATTGGACCCACTTTTTCAGTTGAGTCAAGAGTCTCTGTTCACGATGCAAAAAAGTCTCGGCCGAAATCTTCCGACAGTTGATCTCTCCTGTTATGTCACCAATGATTTTAGCCAGTTCTATTGCCGCCACCTGCTAAGCGCCATCCGAGAATTAGTCATGGTAGGTTTCAGACGCCGAAATGGACGATGGGTCGACATGAATATCCTCGTGGTGAAGGTGCACAGGGAATCCCGACTTTGAGCCCCAGAATCGGTCAAGCACGTAGATAGTCCCCCATATCCGGATGCGGTGTTCTCGTGCTACTGGGTGTAAATTTTGGGGCTGTGGGATGTTGTAGGCTAGGCCTATGCTAAGGCCGAGTCGTAGCGCATTTCTGATCAAAAGGTAGGCGGAGTGAAAGCGATTCAAAAATTGGCAGAAGAAGGCCTACAGAGAATTAGCAAGAGCCGACGTGACTGCCGACAAGGGGACTGACTATCAAGAGGAGACTCTCTATATGAATCATGCTTGGTGGCTCGGGAACGATCTGGATCAGGCTCCACGCTTTGGCGAAATATGCCAAGCCAGGTACATTCGACGTGTCGGAGAAATCATGAGGGGTTGAAAAAATTTGGGTGATGGCAAAAAAAAGCAAAGTTTTGGCACTTGATACCTGTATTATCGAAGTCACCTCTCTGATAGACGCCATGGAGCATGTCCAATGTGTCCTTTTTCAATGCCAAATGGAAGTTTGCGATGATGTGGCCAAGTGCGGTCTTCACTAACAGCTGGGCACTCACAAGGCCGGGCCGTTGTACATCTGTGTGAAGTAAATATGCTACTGCGGACTCGGTAGTATAACGCGACCTTGGAAGATGAGGTGTCGGCATGTTGGTCTCTTTCAATGATTGGCACAGGCGAGTGGCAAAGGCAGCGCAAGTTGCCTCGCTGATATAAAGAAAAACCACTCGGGCATCGTTGGGCTGGAACCACGGCTTCTCACTAAGCAATTCACTCTGTACCAGGGGCTCCATGTTCTCAGTGGCAGCATCCCCACAGACCTGCTGGGGGACCAGAGCTCTGCTCTTGTCTGTTTGAGCGGCTTTCTTGGGTTAAACGGTTTCGTCGGTCATGTAGCTCTTGGCTATCTTTTAGAAGCTGCTCCAAATAACTACACGTTCTTGAAGTTAGTTGCGTATTTAAAGATTAGCGACCAAGGAAGGTGAACCCCTTTTATCCACTCGTATTTTGCGATCTCGGGTCGCACATCTGCACTGCGCTTCATAGCCTGCAACTCGGCATTTGTGGCACGGCTTTTCTCCGGAGAATTTGATCTTTTGCACATGACACCGATGGCAGCTTTAGAAATAGTGAGCTCAAGTACACTACTTCGGGAGCTACACCATGCTTCCTCTGTATCGGCCAAGTAGATTTCAGTCCGGTCGGGTCATGTGATGTTTCTCATCAGGACTAGCCCAGTGCCTGGTGAAGTTGAAGTGTCCTGATGCTGTAGACCTACAGCGCCAGTTAGCCCTAGAGATTGGCAGAACATGAATGACTGCAAACTCACTGTTGACTGTATACACTGTTCGATCAAGTCACAAATTGGCAGTTGGCTCTCTTCGATCCCTTTGGCATGTGCCGGCAGGTACAATGTTTTTCGTCAGTCTGGTGCTGTTTGCACGAGACAGTGGTAGGCCGGTGGCTTGGCTGCCGTTTCGGGAGGAAGCAGAGGTCCAAACATAGCCAGGGATATGAGTTTTCGGGAATGCCAGAGACTGGATGAAATTAGCTTCGGAAACGCGACCATCTTGACAAAGATGGCTTACTCGTGCTCAACAACGAGGCACTCAATATCAATTTGCAGTACTCACCTGTAGACAAGCTCGGGCACTTTGACAGGTCTTGGCGGGGCGCTCATCATTTGAACTGTCATGGTCTGGCCAGTTGGTATTGAAGGACATCGTTCCGTGCTACTGGAATTCAGAAAAGACACCTTCTGAAAAAGTCGCATTGCAGAAAATGGCTCAGGGATACGTAGAACTTCCTTGAAAGTCTTCTTTCAAATGGGGTACGGATTAGGGCCGAGGAGCCTTCAAGAACCTCACTCTGTAAAGGGTCAGAAGGAGGGCCTAAACTACTGTACATCATTGGATTGTGGCATTCACAGTCGAAGTTGTGATATAGCTTAGAAGTAGTGAGATGAAATGGCGAGGATGTCTTCTCTGGGTGCCACTAGACTTTCGACATTTCCATAAAGTCATGGGGCAGCCGTTTTGACACCAGCATTCATGACTTGCTATCACAAAGTCAGCATCTGATCTGGGCATCAACGCCCCCGTCATAGGATATAGGCCGTACTATCATCATGTCAGCATTAGCTAAAGGAGGTAAAAGAGAAGACAACTTATTACCAATTTGGCTGGGTTTGTAGATGTCAACTCTAACAAATCTCTGCGGCGTAGTGCGACCACTAGCCAAGCCCCCCCCCCCCCCAAATGGAGTAACGGCAGGCGCGTTTCAACGCCCGGAGTCCCGCTTGGAATAAAACAGAATGCTCCCCTTTTCCGTTTCATCAAATAGTGTAGCTCATTTCCGCTACATGGCTTCTTCCCCACTATACTTGCTTCGTGCTCCAACGCACCGGAGGGATTTCCGCGAGGGTGGTCGTAGCGGAAAGGGAAATGATCAGACGAGTAAATCGTGGATGTCCCGTTTGACAGACCGCTTTCAAAAATGTTAGCTGCAGAATTTCTGGATTCAAATTAGCGATCTAACCCAAAGAGCTCTTCATGATCGACTCTGGTGCACAAGGAAGTGAAAAAAGATCCAAGGAATTCTTGCTCGGGCTGATGCTGCTGCGGTCCCAGGTGGTATACAGGCCATGAGTTAGTATATCCCTAAACAATTCTCATGAGATTCAGGTTGATCGTAGGTAGAATTTGCATTGAATAGGTTGTATGGGTATGGGATTGCCTCGCGAAAGCCATTGCTTCCGTTGAGGAAAGCGGACGGAGAGAAATTGATGAACGCTTTGGATGAGGGCAATACAGCTCGAGTGTAAATTAACAGAGGGAGCGTCAGCCCTATATCACACTAGTCTATTGCTGCGATGTCAAAACAGGGTTCCCTGATACTTGGACCTCAGGGATGTGTTCGGAATTCTCGGTGATCCAAAAGCAGCAAGAGTCGAGGACAGAAACGGAAAGAGGAAATCAAGTCGGTAGTTGAGTCACCAAATTTGTAGTTCAAGTCTATATATACATAGAAGAATAGTTAGGATGTAACACGCAAAGTAAAAGAAAAGGACAGTAAGTCGTAGAGTCAACATTTAGTTCAACAAGAACCGCGTAGGTGTCTCTTGGGATTGGAGCTCCAACGAAACAGACGTTTTCCCCTTTTTAGGTTGGTAGACGTGATCCTTCAATCCTTTATTGAAATTAAGAATACACATCACGGAGATGACGAATGTGAGAATCATCAACAGCACTGATACACCAGCGAATAACGTCAGGGACACCCGGAAAGAGCTGAAATCAAAGCTCTCCGCGCCGCTGTAAATTCGAAGGAGAGTGACGATAAGGAATCCAATCAAAAGAAGCATAAAGAACTGAAGTGATTGGTTAGTTTTCAGGGCGGACGTTGCTTCACACTCGAGTATCCTCACCATCATGAGCATGAGAGATTTTTTCATTTCACGCTTGCAAAATTGAGCTGAGAGGACCAAGGTCGTTATCGTGACTGGGATCACGGAGGAATTGAGGATAAAATTGACGTCTTGGGCTCGGAAGACCACAAGAATGATTTGGAGCTGAGTTCCGAATACGAAAAAGAAATCGAATTTAAGGAGAGCGATGTACACCTGGAAGGCATTAGATCAGTCAATAAAGGATGTTATCAGCACCGTCGCGACAAACCTGATATACAAAGTATCGGCGCTTCATCTGCAAATCTGCACTGATATTCTTGTATATAGACCATGAAAATTCGCCGCGCAATTTCCACGTAAAAAAGCTCATGCACATAGTTCCAGCACCCAAAAAGACCGGGACAAGAATGAGCTCGATCTTATAAAAGTCCTGCAGACGGTCGCTGAGGTTCTTACTGCTCAAGCTGGAGATTCTGTCCTTGATCTCCCGCATCTGGAGAAGGCCATATGCGAACAGGCCTTGATTACAGATGCAGAGTCCAACCAGCTGGATTGTGTTTCTCCGGCGCAGTGCGTCATATGACAGAGCCAGTTCGTATAGCAGAGCGAAAATGTATAGGCCTAGGAATGACTGAAGGCGCAGTTGTCCACCTGTTTTGCTGTGGTCTTCGAGATCGTCCCGTAGGCGCATGAGAATCCAGCTAATTTCCCCATAAGTTCCAAGTCTGTAAAAAAAAAGTACTGATATTCGGGGTCGGGCCCCCTACCTTTCAATCACCACTGTGAGAACAGTCTCTGTAATCACGGTTACTGCAAATGATCGCGTCCATAATGTATCGGGGATGTATAGTAGAGGTCGGCTGTGGTTCGGAGCCTTGTGATGGTGTTGTTCGCTCATGACCGGATTGAGTGGCACTGAATTTGTGCAGATCGCTGATTCCTTGGTGCGTTTTTCGTTAGCATCATCGGATTTGTATTGAAAAAGTTTGGATAGGCTCAGATATCATATCAAGATTGAGGCGAATGTGGAAGTAAAATAAAGTGTACAGGCTAGACTATTTTCCCTTTTCAGGAGTTTCAGCACAGCATACGGAGTACACACTCAAGACCATACCGAAAACGACTCGCAGTGGGGCGACCAGGGTGACCACGTAAGGCCTGTCGCATTGCCTCATTAGATCAAGCCAAGGTCGATCTAGTGGCGCTCTACGGAGGAGTCGCAATTGACTTCCACCGTGAATTAAACAAACTTGTTAGGTGTCGATGGCACAAGAAAAGTTGGCCATTTGCACGGACTTGGGGGGGCTTTTGGGGGGGGGGGGGGGGTAGTCTTTTGGCCTTCTTGGACATTGAATTTTCGATATTACCCCTTTATTGGTATTAGAGCCAGAGGATAGATATGGAGGATTAAAACATGTGATCAGATGTGCGTCTCTTTCAATGTGAATGGCAACATGGAAAAGCCTTCTAAATTCGTACAATCTAAGACATGGGCCAAGATGCAGTTGGCCAAGATGTACAATTCTAGACCAGAACCCTGAGATGTGAGACACCAAAATCCAGGTTCCCCTGGAAGTTTATGTGGTAGTGTCTCACTTTAATTTTACCTCAAAAAGGAAGTGATCACGTGGGAATTATGCCCACTGGACAATAGTACGGAATGTTTAAATGATGCATAGAATGTATTTGATACTTATAAGGACGAGGATGTTAAGATAATACAGTGATGGGGATATATCCAAAAAGCACTCAAAAATGCACGGCTTGTGCGTTACTCGACTCAGACTCCGACCCGGTGTGTTCGAGCACCAGGACAAATGAAACAACAAAGAACCGCGAAAGAACACAAATGAGAACAGAACCAGCATAGAAAAACTCCGCATAATTGCATGACACATCAGGACGATGTGCATTCGGGCATGGATGCACCGGAAAGTAGGAAATTAGAATTCCATCTCGTCGTCCCAGCCCAGCTGCTCGTATATCGACTTGGACTGTGTTTTCTCGGGCGTCACAGGCACAGCTGCGGCGCCTTTGACGGGGGTTCCAATGACAGCAGACGGGGAGTGAGCGCGAGGATAATCGGTGGCCAGGGAATCAAGCGATAGAGAAAATGGCACAGCAGTGGGAGTAGATATACTCTGCGGCACCTGTTTTTTGGGCGGCGTCTCCATGACTGCCGACGTGCGAGCAAAGTTGAGAGACTGACTGAAAGGTCGAGATGCCGACAAGTTTTCCGTGACTGCCGAAATGTTCCTAGGGTTTGAATGGACGGGGGAACCTGGGACCATTGGTTGTGTGGATGAGCGAGGCGCTGGGAGGTTGGGCACCCTGAACAGGCCTTTGCCAGTGGAGGACGATGGCCGACGGGCAGCTACAGTATCACTCTGGAAAAGTTTAGAAGATGGCCTAGTTGGAGTTTCTTGAATAGTTCCGTTCGGCTGACTTGATCGTGGACTTCGTCTATCGCGTAGATTGTCATGAGAATCGAAAGGGTCGGAGTCGGCGCCCGAGAAAGAGATCGCCCGTCGACTTGCAGACGGGATCGCGGTGGGAGACTCGCCAAAAGGAGAATTTTCCACACCGGCAAAGGACCGAGACGGGGCCAGACTACGAGGGAGCGGTGGTAGCCCAACCACCGCGTCCTTCCTTCGATTGCCTCGAGGAGTCGCCATGACCTGAACGCCTTCGCCAAACGGATTGCGCACGGGGTTTCTGGACTTTCTTGAACTGCCTCCGCCGCTTGTAACCCGTTTCGACGCATCATCTGCCAGATCCTTGGAGACGAGCTCTCTGTTCGGCTTCCGAAGAGCGTGAATAGCAGCTTCAAGCTCTTTCTTCTGGTTGGCCAACATTTGGACCTTTCTCAATTTGGCCTCATGCTGTCGTGCTACGGCGTTGAGATCAACCTCGCGGTTTTCTGTGCGTTTGGCTTTCTGAATACCACCCCGAACACTGCCACTTAGAACAGTGGGAAGCAAGGGCTCAATATCGCACTTTGCAGTATGCTGGCTCGGCGCAGTGTTAGATCGAGCCAGTCCTGGGTGCCGAGCAAGGGACGCTGCCGCTTTATCGTCTGTAAGTACTCGCTGCAATGTGCGTCGAGGCTTCGGCGCAGGCTGCTGTCGCTTGACTTCAACTCCAGGTTCCACGCGGTGTGATTTACTCGAAGATTGTGTCTTCTTAGCAGCTGAGGAGATACCGCCAGACACGCCGAATTTGCGGGTGATCAACTTGCATTTGTCCGGGAGACGCGCAGCATAGAATGGAATGATGACTTCTGTGCAGAAGTCACGCACCGCATCGCTCTCGACTTTCTTGCCTGAAAGATGGTTGCCACTGAAAGAAGAAGTCTTTGCTGTATCAGCGGCAGACGTTTCTTCCATTGTCACAGCGTGCCAAATACACATCCGATCGAGGTGAAGTTCAAGGAGCACATTCAAATCTGTGGGCTTCTTGGGCTTGGCTTTCTTCGACGTACCTTGCTCCCCATTTACATCTTTCTCCTTGTTAGTGCTGTTTTTCTCTGCCGAAGCAATGGCCATTTCCAACACCATGACCTCCAAAATCAACAGGATCTGCAATTGTGTCTCGCGTAACCGGAGGTCCGAAATCTGTCTCTTAGACTCTGCTTCACGGGATGATTCCTGCGCAGAAGACTCATTTAAGATTCTGTCCTTCCACCACCTGTGGACGAAAACTTCCTCCTCTGGGTAAAGACCGTTCCTGCCCATCTTCTTTTTCTTACTCTTTCGCTTCTTAGATTTCGTGCCATCATCAGAAAGCGCAAGAACTGCATCACGAATTGTCGATGGCAACGTTTCTCTGTATTTGAGGTCCATTTTCTTGGTGGCCAGGATAGCCTCGCGGTAGGAGTCAATCAGCTCTGTTGACCCATGAGGCCGTTCCGAGTCACGAGCCTGGAATGCGGTTCGGCAGCGTGTCAACGGGCCCTTCGCAAAGTACGCCACAGAAGTCTAGAACATGTCAGTCGGGTAACCCTTCCATGTCGAGTAGAGCATATCACCTTTGAGACGTAGAGAGCCTGCATATAGTGATCCCTCATCCCGTCCAGCAACTCCTCGGGAGATTGTTGTACATTTACGACATTGGAATCGACACCAATATCCATAACCGCAGAGATATCCCCCAAGCCCTGAGATTCAGGAAGTAAGAAAGAACCCCCCTCATCGGCAACAAAACCCTGCGACGGAGCAAGAGAATGACTCTGGTGCTCTATAACATCCACAAATGATGTCTCGATCTTTTCGAGGTCCGACTCAGACAGACCAAAGACAACCGCAATATCCAGTCCAGCAGACTCTTCACCCATCTCAATATCGGAGAGAGGCTCATCGATCTGAGCGACCTGCCACCAATTAAAACCATCGGGAATAGTATCGGTCTTATCGACAGACACGCCATCCACCTCCGCCGCATCCGTTCCATGCCACCCCGTGGCGGCAACAATGAGATTGTCCTCGTGCACCCATCGGGCAAGCTTGGAGAGCGAGTATATGCCTCTCTTCACCCTCTCGATAATGTAGAGCCCACCATTGGGTACAAGGCGCACAGCAAGGACAGTTGGTTCCACCTTTGCGCGCAGGTCAACTTCCAGCGTAGGGATGTCCGCGGTGAAAAGGCCCCCCGGTTGCTCATCGGATCGGGAAGCAGGCGTGTCATCAAGCCACGAGAGGGGCAGCCTTGTGCGGGGGATGGCAGTGATTGGTTCAAGGATTAAGGGTTCATCAGATAAAGACGCCGAGTGAGCCTACACAAGTTGCAGAGTGAGCAACAGAAACCAATGAATTGAGCGTATGCTGGGCCAATTTTAAGCGCGACTCACTCTTATGACGATAGAAAAGGTAGCAAGCTGTCCCGCAGCCTCGTTTGGCTCCTCTTGATCGCCTATTTTTCGCTTCTTTATGGGTGGAGGGGTCGGCTCGTGGAGTTTGTTCAACGCGGATGAACTGAGCGGATCTAGGATGTTGGGGACTATACACGAAGCCATGGTCGCGTCTAGAAAATTGTGTGCATCCTGTAATTTAAATACAAGAGCTGAGTCTTATGCTAAACTAACAAAGCAATGAGGTTTGTTGTGCAGGTGTCGCCAAATCGCGATCGAATCGTGGCGGGTTTGGCGTCGCGCGTCGGGACGCACTCCGCCTGGACCAATGTAAGACACGTTAATTGATGTCAACGAAATTGTTCATGCTGGCAAGTTTTTCACCCAAATTTTGCAATTACCTGAAAGATTGAGAACTTTGAAAACACCTAAACTACGGAGCAGTACGCAGTATACTATGAAAAACACCATGTGAAAAAAATGAAGAATATTATGAATCTATCACTAGTGTTAGATTAGCAGGCCCAGGACCAAGAACAAAAAGAACCCCCCCAGGCACTCTCACAGAGAGCACCGTGCAGGTTCTCTCGAAACCGATAGAGTACGATCCAGCGTGGAAGCAGGACCAAAGTCTCCTCGTAGGTACCATGGACAGTGATGTTGAAGACTGTCGCTCCAGAAAAACGCCAAAAACTTCCTTCCCCAGCCGATGAAAAGTGGTATCATGTTGAATATTGTCTTCGCCAAAAGGCCCGTCATTTGCGCGACCATGCAGATAATGAAACAAGAGAAGTCGGTCTCCAAAGGGAAACCAACTTTTGGTTTTTTAGAGGGTTTTTTTTAAAAATCTATGCTCATCCGTGCTTTGAGTTGTTGAAAACAAAGCAAATCATCACAGTCGTCAAAAATCGTCCGGAGTCACCGGATCAAGCAGAGCCCGCTTAGAACTTGAGGGCACGGGGTGACTCCCAGGAGAACTCCTGGTTGGTAAAGTGGCCGTTCTTGGCGGTCTGGTAGTAGATAGGCTTGGCCAGGTCAAGGTCCTTCACGATAACACCGGGACGGAGATCGAAGTTGTTGCGGATAATCTGGACCAGCTCATCGGAGGTCTTGGAGGAAGTACCGTAGCTCTCAACGAAGATGGAGAGAGGCTCGGCGACACCAATGGCGTAGGAGAGCTGGACGAGGGCGCGGCGAGCAAGCTTGGCGTTGACCAGAGACTTGGCAATCCAGCGCGCAACGTAGGCGGCAGAACGATCGACCTTGGAGTAGTCCTTTCCGGAGAAAGCACCACCACCGTGAGCACCCCAGCCACCGTAGGTGTCGACGATGATCTTACGGCCAGTGAGACCGGCATCACCCTGAGGACCACCGATAACGAAGCGGCCGGAAGGCTGAATGTGGTAGACAGTGCGGTCATCGAGGAGCTCGGCAGGGATGACCTTGCGAACAATCTTCTCCTTGATGGTGGCGCGGAGCTCCTCAGTGGAGACATCCTCGCTGTGCTGAGCGGAGACGACGACTGTGTCGACGCGCAGAGGCTTGACAGCACCGTTATCGTGGGCGTACTCAATGGTGACCTGGGTCTTGGTATCGGGGAGCAACCAGGGGATGGAGCCATCATTACGGGCGGCCTTCATGGCAGCGTTAAGCTTGTGAGAGAGGAGGACAGTCAAGGGCAGAAGCTCAGGGGTCTCGTCGGTGGCATAGCCGAACATGATACCCTGGTCACCGGCACCGAGCTTCTCAAGAGCCTCATCGTAGTGGAGACCCTGGGCAATATCGGGTGATTGCTGCTCAATGGCAACCAAGACATTGCAGGTCTTGTAATCGAAACCCTTCTCGGAAGCATCATAGCCGATATCTTTGATAGCGCCACGAATGATCTTCTGGTAGTCCAGATGGGCCTTGGTAGTAATCTCACCGAAGACCATAATCATACCTAGTGTACATGTCAGATTGAGATCTGGCCAGATGTGATCAATTGGTCAACCTACCGGTCTTGGTGGCAGTCTCGCAAGCGACCTTGGAGAGGGGATCCTCAGCAAGGCAGGCATCAAGAATGGCATCGGAAACCTGGTCACTATGGTAAATTAGTAAATAGACAATTGGAGTTGGTGCAAAACCCATCAAATTCAATTCTGGTAGAAATGAGAGGTTTTGCGGGTGTAACTCACGCAATCTTATCGGGGTGACCCTCGCCGACAGACTCAGAAGTGAAAAGAAAAGTGCCGCTGTTTGGAACAGAACCCATTGTGACGGTGTGTGAATTACAACGGAAAAAGAACGAAAAATGGGGGGGGAAAAGAAGAGTGAAGAGATGAGAGAAAAGGAAGGAAGATCTCTCTCGGGGAGGGGAAATTAGTGGGGCTTTCCTAATTTTTTTTCTCTCTCTCCGAGTTACGGAGTACACAGGCAGTACCTCAGAAAACACAGTGCTAGCGTGAATTGAGTAGGTATTCCCGAAGTACCCTCGTTATACTTCGTATGCGGTATGTCAGCCGGTGATCGCGCAATTCTGGGGGCGGTGACTGAGGGCAGATCAACCCGCAATTTTCTCGCGATAAGATAGAACGTCCATGATGAATTTCTTTTTGTACTCTTTTTGTAGCTTTTTATTCAATATACAACCATGTCCAAATTTGGTGTTCTGGTAATGGGCCCTGCGGGGGCAGGCAAAACTACCTTCAGCAATGCGGTAATCCAACACCTTCAAGCCACTCGCCGTAGCTGTTTCTACGTGAACCTTGACCCCGCCGCTGAGACATTTGCCTACGAACCAGATCTCGACATTCGCGACCTGATCACTTTGGAAGATGTGATGGAAGAGATGGGTCTGGGACCAAATGGCGGTCTTATCTACTGCTTCGAGTTCCTCCTTCAAAACCTCGAATTCTTATCAGAGGCACTGGAGCCCTTGAGTGAAGAGTACTTGATCATCTTCGATATGCCCGGTCAAATCGAGCTCTACACACACATTCCTCTTTTACCAACTCTCACAACTTTCCTCTCCCGACAAGGCCCGCTAAACATCAACATGTGCGCCGCCTACCTCCTCGAAAGCACCTTCGTCATCGACAAAGCAAAATTCTTCGCCGGCACCCTCAGTGCCATGTCCGCCATGCTGATGATGGAGATGCCGCACGTCAATATTCTTAGCAAGATGGACCAAGTTCGGGATATGGTGACACGCCGGGAATTGAAGCGGTTTACCAACGTGGATGTGCAACTGCTACAAGAGAAAGAAGAAGACGATCTCACCGCAAGTGCCAACCCCATGGCCGCGGAATCCTTGATGAGCGGCGGATCTTTCAAGCAGCTCAACCGGGCTGTCGGACAACTGATTGACGATTTCAGTTTGGTTTCGTTCCTGCAACTGGATGTATCGGATGAGGACAGCGTCGCGGCGATTGTGAGCCACATCGACGATGCAATCCAGTACCATGAGGCCCAGGAACCGAGAGAGCCCAAGGATGCAGTCGAGGTGAACTATGAGGATTGAGGGATATCACACGTGATTCATGCCGCGCTGTGATTTGCGGCAAATTCCCTGCATACTCAGGACCCTCCATGACCGACCGCTTCACCCAATGCCACCCCCATGCAGCAAATTAGAGCCCCGGTAGCAGAGCAGTCTGAGATAAATCGCATTTTTTTTTATCTCAAGTTGCTAATATACGGCTGATCTTATGATATTGGAAACACGATCCAATATGCTTGTCGCGCCGCATTACACAGCAATTGGAGCTCCTTCGACGTCTGGAATCGACCATATTTGCGACACAAATATGACTGAAGCTACCGGAGTCAGCGCTGAGAGCTTTCTACACTGCAAAGGAAATTCGGTCCAATCCTCAGTTAATAGAAACCATAATGAAACCATGATGAAATCAAAATCAATTCATGAATACTTGTTGTCTAAAACTCCTTGACAACCTGTCAATCGCTAGACCAATTAATTCAGCAGAGCGAAGTGAAAAAACAGGCACACCCATTGCACATTTTCATCATATACCCCCAAACAGGCACACAGCCGCGAAGGAAGACATTAAAACAGCCGATGATTTTGAACAACAGGCCAAAATCCTCAATTCCCATTACACAATCACACCCAATGAGCCAAACCAAGCCACTTTACTTTGGATTCCCCGCATAAGCCGCCGCAGCGATCTTACTCTTTTCCTGAAAATCGTCCACAAACCCATATATCACACCATAAAGCCACCCGAAATCCCTGCCCGCATTCTCAATGCCAACACTGTAGATATACCAGCCGAGACCGAGAATCGAGCCCCAGAAGGCAAGCCTGAAAGCGAGCATGACCCAGAACATGACCACGCGATAGGCGTATTCGAGAACCTTGAGGGAGACGATGATGATGATGGCGAGGAGGAAAATTGAGAGCAGGTCTGGCATGGAGGAGGAGTAGGAGGCGAGGACGCTCGAGAGGGGCTCGATGAGGTATGGTTGAAGCACCATTGTGCGGAGGTGCGAGAGTTTTGTTATGAGTTGATCTTGTGTTGTGGTTTGGAGGTAGGTAAATGCAGGATTTTGGAGGACTGTTTGGAGGTTTTCTGTGTCCGTAGGATTATTGATCAGCCTCTAGGACTTCGCGTTGTAGGATTTGTATCTATGTGGCTAGATGGGAGGTGAGGTACGTACCTGGAAGGAAGTCCATGGTCGCTGTATCTTTGAATAGTTGATTGTTGAAATGGTCGACGAGGAAGACACAGGAGGATAGAGAGAGGGAGAGCGGTCCCTCGCGTGTCAGGTCCGTGGTTTCTTTGGGATCTCACCGGCGCTTTCTTTGAGACCTTTGGGTCTTTTTGACCCTTGAAAATGGATGTGTGCGAGGGGGTCGCTAGTGTGGGGCGGGGGAAAAAATACCCTTGCTTTGAATGTTCAGGGTGTGGGCTTTTTGACTCGAGAGCGCTTTGTTTGCTCTCGTGCTGGAGCTCGCTCTGGGGTAGCAGTTGAGCAAGGCGACCAGGCCAAGGAGGGATTTCGTGGGATATGCAAGGCGTCAGTTGAAGCGGAGACTAGGAGAGCTTGTTTCCAAATGTATGTTTTCCGATGCGATCAATGATGAGCAGGTCAAGAAGCAAAGGTGACATTCACGCAGCAGCGGCGTGGCACCAGGATGATAAGAGGATGCAAACAAAACAAACGTCGCATGTGAAGGGATCTTCTACTTAGATGGCAGTCTCATTTATACCTCACTCTCTGCTGATCTCGATACATTTTACAAATATCAGATTGATAGTAACTGATACTACAAAGTAGATTAGATATTTTCCCAAGTTGGGATGGTTTCTATATACAAGGGCGACCAAAATCAGTCAATCACCAGTCTCGTGAATGTGAGAGACAAAACGCTCCAAGTCCAAGTCAGGGAAGAGGCCAGCGCGATGCCACACGCATGATCTTCATTAAAGAACCCAAAAAAAACCCGGCACTCCGGGCTAACTCCAAGAGATTGTACACTACCATCGCGGGCGACGGGAGCGTAAATGCATATGCAGATGTGGTATAGTGAGATATTAGGATAGGGCAAAGAGCGAGATTAGTCGAATTTTACAGGGCGTTGAGGAGCCTCCTGAGGGTGTCACGCTCAGCTTGGATCTCGGTTTGAAGTTGACGGGTCTGGCGGAGAGCGTCGTCTCTGTGGCATGGGTTAGCATAAAAGATGGGAGGAAGAAAGGGAGTGAAATAAAACCCGAATTGCATACCTGTCAGTTTGAAGCTGAGCTACATCGAGTTGCGTGCGGTTCATCCGTCCAACCACTTGCTCCATCTCCATATCCGCCTCACGGAGGAGCTTCTCGAGATCTTTGACTCGTCGCTCGAAAATTTCGGATTGGACAACCTCGGCCAAGGGTACACCTTGGCCGCTCGTGGTCTGGTCTAGACGCGGTGGGCGAGAATCGAAGGGTGCGTTCGGGGGCCGGGGCGAGAGGCCGACTAGATTGCGACTACCATTCATCATCCGCGTGAGCTGGGCATGCTGGCTTTCCTTCAGCAAACGAATCTCCTCCTCGCGTTTGCCCATCTCTTCTTCCGAGTGATTTTGAGCAACCAAAAGAGTTTCCTCCAGCTCCCTCATGTGGTTCTGTAGAATGTTGATCCGGTCAACTGAGATCTGCTGATCTTTGTCACCCTTATCAATAGCCGTTGCTAGACGGGCATGCAAAGAGATGTTGATCTGAAGCTGATTTTGGACTTTGCTGCCCAGTGCCCCAGTCCGGAGGAGGGAGGAAGCAAGCTCTTCCGAATCCGCAACATCAGCCTCGGCCTCAGCTCGATCCGCCTGCAATTGCTGGAATGCAGATTGCAAGGAAGAAGATGTGGTCACGACCTCAGCAAAACCTTCTTGACCTGTCATCAACTCTGCACCAGCAGTAGTGTCCTCTAGAAGAAGCGCGCGTAGAGAGCTGGTCTCCTGCTCGGCACGGTCCAAGTCCATTTTCAGTCCAGCGAGATTCTTCTCACACTGCCACTTGCCATCTAGGGCATCCTCGGCGCGCATGCGGAGATGGTTCACATCGTCACGTAGGTTGCGCAAATCTCTCTCATAGCCTAATTTCCGCGGCTGACCCGATTTCTGGGCCTGAGCAAGTTCCATTTCCAGAATACGAGTGCGCTTCTCGTACTCGCGGGCCTGGTATGCCTGGCGGTCGAGGAGGCTTCGCAATGCCTGGTGGAGGGCATCACGTTGAACTTCGATATCGTGGACCTTGTCAGCCAACGATTCACGTGTTTCTGGTGATTTATTACTGCTGGTATTATTGACTGAGTTGGACCGAGATAGCGAACCCGAGCGGGCTAAGCCGCTGGGCTTACGTGCAATGGAGCCCGATCGTGACACACCAAATGTCGAGTTTTTGGGTGAGCTACCTTCCTCGGCGATCGAAGCAAATCGACCGCTCTGTAGCTGAGCCAAAGAAGCATTTTCGATTTTCAAAGCTTCAATTTCCTCTAGGAGCCTGGTTTCATCTCGAAGTTGATCTCGATCATTACGAAGTTGTTCCAGCTCTACCCGCATTGCGGTAAGTAGGTCCTCAAAGTTATCTTTGGATTGCCGCTCTTCAAGCAGCTTTCGTTTGGTATTTTCCAGAGCAGTCTCGAGTTCCTTAGTTTTCGATGACAAATCGGACATGTCCGTTCTTTCGCGTCGGAGCTAGATAAATGCTGTCAGTAGTCGCATGTTGCACATCGTTTGCCCCCCGTACCTGTTGAACTTGAGATTCCAAGATTTGGACATGAGACTCCGATGCCAACCGCTGAGATCGCTCGTCCTGTAACTTCTGCGACAAGTCAACCTTGAGCTGTGCCCGTTCTTGCGCTGCAGCGCGACGAATCTTCTCGATCTCTTCGCTCTTCCCAGGATCAGAGGCATAGCGAATAGAGCTAGTACCCGAGTCTGAGAAATAGTCACTTGTACGTCGATTGACGTCCGGACCTTCTGATTGTAGCCGTTCGACTAGATCCTCCAGATCAATTTCTCGGCCAATCGATCGCGCCAATTCGATAGTTATCTCTCGTAATTCATTCTCTATGTCTGCCATCTTCGACATGAGCATACTTTCCTTTATACTCGATGCCCCTAGTGAAGTCCGCGCCGGGAGACCATATCCATTGGACTTGAAATCGTACGGAGAGCCGGGCTTGAAAGGGACGTTTGCTAATGCTGGCATAGGGGGAGGCATTGCCGCTCGACCGGAGTCGGAGATATCCGTGCTCGATGATTCGCCTCCAGGGGATGTGGCTGTATTGTTATTCGCCGCCTTCCAGCTGAAGAAGGAGCTGATCTTCTTTCCCGGGGCTTTGGGGTGCCTTGGATCTCCCGCACCCATTGACATCGACATAGCACGCGAATCCTTTTCAATGTATAGGGAAGGTGTTCTGTTCATAGGTGTATGTAGTGCCATGCTCGTTGCCCGTCGTGACGATCGTTTCATTTGAGGAGGGGAATTGAGGACTGGGATGAACGGCTCGCTATCTAGACGACTGTGAAGGGGGGTTCCATTCATGAACTGGTGTTCGTATCCTTCGTCAAAGTAGTTGGGACTCTCGTCGTCGTCGTCGTCCTCAAGCACGGATCTCAAGTACGAGGCGGAGCCGTGGCGGGAAGCGGCAGTATCGATATGTAGGGGTTGGGTAGGGTGCCGTCCTCGGGAATATCTGGGGAGTTGGGACAGGGCCACGCGATTAGTCTTCCAGACTGTGGAGAAGCGGAATAGCATGTGTAGGCCATATCATGCTTGATCGGTAGGTAGCCGGGACCAAAAAAGGTCTGCAGAAAGATCGGGGAGAGGAAAACCTAGGGTCATGCTAATCGCGTACCTATTTAGGGTTTTTTGTACCAATGTATACGAGTCTCCATCCACTGACAAAGGGGATGGTGGTCTGGCCACGGGTGCAGTGGGAACAGAAGTGGGTTTATCTCCCTCGAACGAGATGGGAGATGAGGGGTGGTCAAGACCCGAAGTCACCGGATCACCATTATGCGGGAGAGATTTCATTCGCACGGGAGACGTAGTTGGAGACAGATCGAGACTAGAGTAGCTCTCTGAATGGGCGGGAGAGCCGCCAAACCCAGGAGACGCCATGAAACACCCTGGTCCGGATCAAAAAATAGCCATGGATCGACGGCCGTTCATGCCGATTAACACGGGAAAGAGAATGGCATGCGCCAATGAGATGACCGAAATGGCAAGGATAATTCTCAGGTGAGCATCAAACATGGAGGGAAATGGGAGAAAAGGAGAACCTTGGAAAGTCTTGGTACATGACAAGCCGGGGCGATTGGCCCAAACTGCCCGTGGCTCCATTTCATTAGCGCTGGCTTCGGGACAAGTAAGCGTGAGTGGAGCGCAGGGGCGTGGGTCTGGACGTGCATGGATTCGATTGGCACAAATACATCGTAACATAGTGGCTCTGGCCTGTAGGATCGACAGTACTTGAGCCCTACCATGAAGCGTATAATGTGGTCATCCTTATTTCTTGATAGTCAGTCCAATGCTCTCTCGTCCATAACGTCCATGTGGAGTATAAGGAGTTCATGGGGACCAGGTTCAGATGAGAATAGAACATTCAATAGTATCCAGTGGCACAATGAACCCCTTGAGTCGTGGACAGAGGTTGGCCCGGGCTTTTGCTTGGCGATTCAGGGGCATGTGGACCGGACTTGGACTTTTTCCGGCCCTTTCAATTGACTTTGAAAGTGCTTTCTGTCTACTCTATACGGAGTACTCCGTACATCCTACACGTTTACCTTTTCCAAGGTTATCGATGATGTCGGCAGTGTGATTTACTCATCTGTACTCTGGACGGAGTACTTAGGATAACATTTATCTCATATTTACCCATAGGTTTTCTATGGAGATACCTTCAACCACGGAACAGGGAAATTTGATTTAGTTGTCTGCAGGAGATTAAGGGGCTCTAAAAAAAAGGCATCTCTCACTGTGGAAATGTTGCCCCTTTTCTCTTTCGAGAGTTCCCTTTCTTATCCAAGCTTCTCATTTTTGGGAAAAGACAAAGGTTATTCCCTGTCAGCAGAATGTGCTCAATTACATACTGCACGCTAACTGTTGTATCGTGCCCAATCAAAGTGAGGCGTCAATCTCAAAACAGCGTCTCGCTGGACACTCGGGCCAGCGCATGGGCCGACATGTATTGCTTCAACGGGCTAAGCGCCGAGGTGCTAAGGAACCTGTTCCTGCATCGTCTCACATCATGAAGTTGGCCAATAAGGCGAGGGTGCATCGTTTGTACTCTTCACGGAGCAGTCCACAGATAGGAGATGACAGCTGGATCCTAAGTTTCTCAGCCGATAACAAGATGCTCCTGGTATCAGTTCCGGACCCTTTTAGTATCTAACTTTTGAGTTGGACATTGATCTCTATGTACGGACTATACGTCTCAATCTCTGGAAGAGAAGGCCTACTAATCACCACTGTACTCTTAATTGACACTAGGGCTCGGGAAATATAAATGATCATGCAATCCCTGCGTGCTGTGTTTTTAGTCCTGTTTCGAACCCTGTTTTACTCCGTACTCCGTACTGAGCGCGCCTCTCCGACAACTGGGATTCGTGTTGTGTGATGTTGTACACCCTATGGAGACAGTGGTTCCACTGGTATTACGGAGAATATAAATGGCAAATTTACCTGGACGCGTTGGAAACGGTGATACAGAAATAGCTACATGAGATGGCTTGATCCATTGTATGGAATTAATAGGGTTCAAATGCATAGGGCTGCTCCATTAGGGTCTAATAACTTGTCGCAGAAACGGTTGACAGCCCATGATTCCGAGATATTTTCACATTTAAAATTTCGCAGTAAATTGGGAAGATTCTGGATAACTTGGTCTACAGCTCACCTGACTTTCAATTCAACGCCATCAGCTCCGTACGGAGTAGTCAATAGACGGACAGCAGTGATGGTCTGTATCCATCTGCACGTTGATAAAGAAAAGGTGGCTTATGCACCCCCGTTTGACCCACTCCCTTCGCACAGTCTAGACCATGTCTCACCCTCGAACTTGTCTTACATTCAAAGATTTGCTTAATTATGTACATAACATAGGTCGCACCTCTGCAGTGATCTACTACTTTGTTGTAGTCCCAGTCACAGCCGTTCTATTATTAGAAACAGCTGAGAGGCTCCAGATGCCTGGATCTGGCAAGTGGCTAGATGTCTCGATGCTGCATTCAAGCTGTTTCAGGGGCCCTTGCTGTTTTCATGTTATACTCCGTGCATCTGCACATAATGGAACAGAGGTAAACTGGGGTCCTAGAACAAATCTGATGCTCTATCCGGTTCATACACTTGGTATCCCCAAATCGATTGTGCAGAACTTTTACACGTGAGCTTAGGAGCAGAAATCAAGTATCGAGGTCTCAGCACTGTCCCTTCAAATCCTTTCCCCTCTCTTTGATCCCTAGTCCAAAACCCGTGTCTCACTCACGCATGTACGCTGTGCCATTTTTCTTATCATTTTTTCGACTTCGTCCGCGGCTGGTGAACCAGCCGAGAAGGATTGTACAGCATACGACCGAAGTCACGACAAAAGACGATACGATTATACTAGCCGCTTCAAACTCTTTTTATGGAAAATCGGATAGGTCTGGCCCATTGGTTCGGATGTGATTCTCGGAAGAGACGAGCGTTCAAACTTGCCCAAAATTGTGGATCGAATATTTAACGAACTTCCAACCTTGATTGTGTTCCTTTCCAACCTGCGTGCAACCGCAACCTATAGAGGTAACAGAAATTAAAATCACCTAGAAGGCGCGCCGTTCTTGCTCCCGACCCGCGAGTATGACCCCTTCCTCTCCTCTCCGAGGTTCCACGAGACGGTTTTCTGAGTTCGGAATAAATTTAAGCCAACTTGCTTTCTTCCAAGATTTGTGATGAGGTACATAGTGAAAGTGGCTCACATGCCCCTTTCGACTCGGCGAAGCGAGCGCAGGATGCTGACGAGCCTTACTGCAGAGGGACTTGAAAGACTATTGTATGCAAAATGTGGACTCAGGATGCTTATTCGTATATTTCTGGGCCCCATAAGGAGATAGCACAGACAGACCACAAAAATCATGGTGTTCAAACTAGAAAACACCTTCGTAAGATTTAAATTCGTTTCTTATTAAACCCAAGTCCCGATGTTAGACTCCGTACCCGATGTCACGTTGCCAATTCGGATTATATCCCCGCGCAGTCCCAAAGGCATTCCGGATTTCATAATTACCGTTTGTGCTTTCATAGATGGTAAATCCAGCGATACACCCAAGGATAACATGGAAGAAGCCGGTGATGGCACCATAAACAGCCCCAGCGGCAGCAGCAACGTTGTAAGGGCAAATATCATAGCCTGTAGGTGTCCACATTTTAAGTATTAGTCAAATCCTATGTCAACCGATGCAACAGAAGAAGCGAACAGTGCAAACCCCAATGATTTCATGTTAATATAAGAAAAGGCAACTGACCTCCATTATGTGCCATACGAGCAAAAACGTATCCCCCCAAGGCATCGAACCCCATAACACAAAGGTGTGTCTGAGGTTTGCTACCATATAGCCCCCCAGCCGCTGAAGCACCAAACAAGATTAGCAATGGAGAGCTCCAAGCGAAGAAAAAAGGAGCTCACATTCATATATCCCAATGCACTCTCCTGCGAGAGGAATGGCAGCGACAACAGCCGCAATAAGTAACGCGCTTGGTGCTTCACATCGTCAGACACCACAACCAAGTCAAATTGCAGAGCATAGAGCTCTGGCTATGCAATATTCCAGACAGGCTGGCACTCACTTTCTCCAATAACCAAATTGCTAACCTCTGCCGTGACCAGGACACAAATTCCAAAGCCACTTGCCACTAGAGCTAATAGTATCCACGCGGGTGTTGGCAAACCTGCGAACCCCGCAAATTCGACGAATGCCAACACTCCCGATTTAGTGACTCCAGCGAGCGCACCGATTTGCATTGCTCTCGCTGTCAGTGGACTCCCATTGATATGTGCGGCCGTCGCCACTGCAGCTGGACCGGCGGCGGCATTTACGGCGATATCCAGCGCAGCGAGGACGAAGAATGTCCATACTAGTGGAAGGGACGGTAAGCATTGGGTTGAAACTTTTCAACGTCGCAAGGAGGAAGTCATTCTGATTTGCGTTATGTTCATGAGTAGGAAAAATGGGGACTCACTGTTGATAGCAGGACGGGCGACATTGTCCAGATCCATAGTCAGACTTTTTAGCGACAACCACTTCGATTCACTGTAATCAAAGTCGTAATAATTGACAAGGTCAAAAATAGATGCCTGGCACTGAGAACGAGAACGGATCACAAATAAGAAAATCGACTTTAATAGCCAAGACTTGGTAGATAGGTAAGCTCTTCAAATTCACCCTGCCAAAAGCCTCGTGGGGTCACATGGATGATGCCACAAGAGGCTGATAAAACTAAAAATCCTGTTTTTTTTTCACTGAAACGGGGACATCAATCACGAAGCAGTACACGAAGTGCTGCAGTAGTTGGAGTATATACTTCCTGATTGACCAATCAAGGGTCTCATTTGCCGAGACTAAATCTCTGGCGTCTCCTAATCAGCCTTAATTTGGCCTTAGCGGTTCCTGCAGTAAGTGTCGCTCGGGCGCCACATCCTGACGCGCCCAATCCTAGTGCGATCAAGATCATCTTGGCAGACTCAGCCGCCTTTTTGTCTTTATCAAACTTCGAAGGACGATGTGTTTGACTGGTGATCGCAGGGTTTCGTGGCGCAATGCTCACTGCTTGGCCACTTTGGTGCCCGAGCAAATGGCTTTTACCTTTTCCCTTTCGTTGCCTTTGCCCTTTCGTCATGCGAACCGAGAGACTCGTCCAGAGATGTAAAGGCGATAATGAATACTTGACCCAAGATTGAGATCTAGAGTGACTCACCCCACTCAGATTGCTATAGCACATCGCTTGGAAAGTCGTTACAACAATCATTGTGCTATACAGTATGAACTCAACAGCCTGTGTCATCGAGGCTAATCCGGATGTATCTGGAGTCGGAGTAAGTCTCGTCTCAGATGCCACAATTCTCATTCTATCGCCATGCAATCCCCTACCATTTGGAAAAAAATTACACCTCAGCTAAATCATCACCCCCAGATTCGTATATCGATCTACGCTCTCTGCCTAGGCGGGTCAATCGTTACCTATCTACTCCGGGTATTCGCCCCAGGCGAAGATCAAGAGGAGTTCTCACGGGGCGTCTCCTCCGCCCTTGGCTTGCAAGGTCTAGCCCTCCTCTGCACCGCAATCTACCAGACAATTCAGGGCGACCTAACACTCTTCCACGCGATTTGTGTCGTGCACCTTCTCGCTATACTCGGTATGAACATGGTAAGCAAAGGCCAGTATGCAGGGCTCGGCCCATGGCGACTTTATTTCTTCTCCGCAATCCAGATCCTGGCTTTGGCGGCTTTCCTTGCTTTCAACGTCTATGTCTGGGTGACGGCGCCGCGATTTGGTAGCCAGCCCCAGTGCAACAAGAATACGGTGTATGTGCTCTTTGGCGTGAGCATCAAAGCCACTTCTCCTATATTCCGGTATGTTGTTTTGGGCACTCTGGGTGCGGTTGTGGCTGGTTATGCTCTTACTTTCACGTGCATGTTGCCGTGTCTGTGTGGGTTTGTTTTGTACCAGAAACGGCATCCCGACGCTGGAGATAGGTTTGAGAGTCAAAAGAGAGGTTGGCTGAATTGGTTTGTGGAGTTTCAGCATCGTCCTGAGACACCCGAGAGGCTACATGGCCAGGCGCTGCTCAACTTCACGCTGAACAAGGTCGCGTATTGTTCGTTCTGCATCTACTTGATTGTTTCGCTTGAACAGACTATCCATCGCAACGACCTCAATCCCGAAGAGAAAGGGTGGACGTTCGGACAGGTTATTGCGATTTTCTTGTTGTTGGGTGTTGCCAATGAGCTGCTTAATGTTCTTCTTGCGAATTGGGATAGGAAGCAGGCTGAAAGTTCTCAGCAGCTGGTACAGTTTAGGCAGGGAACTGGGAACTCGATGCATTCCTCGTCTTTTTGACATGTTCATGCATAGTGAATTTGGAGATAGTGAAATTACCATGAAGCCACGTTTTAGTGTTTCTTGGAAATTGCCGTGTGCTCCAACTGTCCCTGCAAGTCTGAAAGATTATGGTCAGTATAAAAGAGGCAGAACCTTGTCATATAAACCACATGCTGAAAGGGAAACTCGGAAAGCGCACCGTGATGCAGGAGCAAAATCGTTGTGTAGCAGTGATAAATATGTACAGGACAGGATATATAATCTACTCACAAGCCCGAATGATGTAAAGTCTAAGCATGAAGGATCCCAGCTAAGAAGCGCCCAACTGGCGGTTCCCTAAATGGTGGGTAAACATCTAACCAGTTCGCCCTCATTTCATAGTACTGTCAACCAATTCGCGGTAGATCTTCTTGAGATCAGCGATGTCAGCGTTGAGTTCATCAACCAGCTCGCTCTTTTCACCTAGCATCTCAAGGGTAGTCTGGTAGCGCTGATCAAGTTCTTCGAGTTCCGCTTCGAGTTTCTGCACGCGAGATTCCGAGAGCTGCTTCTCTTCGAGCTCACGCATAAGATCAACAACTTGTTGCCGGGCTTCGTCACGCTGGGTAGTTACGCGGGCCAGCTCGTCCTTGGAGCCGGCGCGCTCGCTTTCTAGGCGGCGGACTGTGGCACTCATCCGCTCGACCAGCTGCACAGAAGGGCCAGCACCGACAGTTGACTCGGAGATAATGTCGTTGACACCGCGCGACGGAGGCGCTTGGATGCCGCCATACGCAGAAGGAGTGGCAGGAGTGGCAGGAGTGCCAGAATCTTCGAAATATTCTTCCGGCTCAAAGCTGATAGAGGGCGCTGCCAGGATTGATGAATTGGTGTTGATGTGTGGAGGAGAAAGCGTAGCTTGGGTGATCGAAGCAGGGTAAGAGTTTTGCCGAGTTGGAGTGCCGATTTCCGGCGAGGTGAAAGCCATGTTAGATGAGCGCCGGCTAGGAGGGTGGAAGTCCGACAGCCCTGGGGTCATGGCCTCGAGGGTGCTCGATCGCCGTAGAGATGCGACGGGTGATACTCCACGTAGTTGCGACGGGGAGTTCACCTGCTCTCTCCACTTGGCCCGCTCTTCCTCGAGCTTCTGTGCCCACGTTGCGTCGCATGTTTTCTTCTGCTCGGCCATGTCCTTTTGCGTTGAGACGAGGTCCTCTGCCGCTTTCTCAAATTTATGTTGTAGCTTCTGCAGATCTTCCATGCGTTCCTCGAGCCTGCTGTCCAAATCGTGCTCAACTTCTTTGGCGTTGTCTAGTTCCTCTTCTAACTTCTTCAACTTGTGGTTCTGCATTGATTTTGGTTAGTCTCGCGGCATACCAAGGCATGAAATTTGAGATCTTACCATCTCTCGAATCTTTTTCCGAAGGTCGATCTCACGCCGACCGGCATCATCGCGTTCCTGCTCCACACTAGCCAGGCGTGAGAGCAAAGAGCCCTCCAGTGTGTGCCAGTTTTCACTAGCGGCAGCATATTGAGTTTGCAGGGTCTCGATCTGACGCAAAAGTTTGGCTTGGGTCTCTCCCGTTGCCCCCGATGAAGCTTCCTCTGCGCGGGAGCGCAGGCTTTCCATCTTGCTTTCCAAGACTGACTGTTCGCCTTTCAATTCAGCCTCCAGCATTCGAGCTCTTTCTTTCTCTTGCTCAATCTTTTCCTTCAACTCGGTAATTTCCCTCTTGGAAATTTCTTCACCGATGTCTCGCTCGATCTTCAGATTGCATAGCTCCTCATCTAGCTCCGCCGCCCGTTGCTTCTCCAGCTCTAGAGCATCAGAGTTCGCCTTTGTCTCCGCGTGTTCAGCGCGGGAAACCGCCCGACTCAATTGCGATTTTATTTCTTGGACGGTCAGGTTGAGTGCATTGCGTTCATTGGTAACAGCTTCCAAGTCTTTAGTCGACTTTGTTTGGGATGACAAAGACTCGGTTGCCCTCTTCTCTGCGGTCTCTGCCCTCTTAGCTCTTGCCTCGGAGTTGACCAAGTCGCGCTCAAGCTTGTCCGTCTTTCTCTTCATTTCAGTCTGAGATTTTGTATTTTCGGCAAGTTGCTGACGCAATTTTTTGATCACTGTGCGGTGGTCCATCTCCGATTTGGACAGCTTTTGCCCTTCTTCAAGAAGCAATGCAATCTTCTCATCTTTCTCTAGGAGCTGTTTTTGCGTACTCCCTGGGGTAGCACTTGCCGCAGCATTTTTAGCCGATTCCGCAGCATCCTTTGCGAGGTATTTTAACTTCGACTGCAATGCATCAATTCGTTCGATATAGCCATGCATTTCTTCTTGCCATTGAGACTCGGCAACTTTATGCTCGGCCTGCAAGCGAGCGATATCCGGATTTTCATTTTCCTCTGGTACCTGTGATGGCGATTCAACGCTAACTCGTGGACTATCGCCCTTAGCAACTTCGCTAAGTATTAAGTTGCGTTGAGAATCCGATAATTCTTGACTAGCTCTGGCCGAGTCGGTTGATGATTGAGCCACATCCAGAGAGGCCCTGGGCATGGAATCTGCGATGCTGATGTCCGTTGAGACACGCGGTGATACCCCGGAGTCGTAGCTTACCTTAGGTGAGGCTGATTTAGCTGCATTGTTGTCATTCGGCTGAGAAATCTTAGGGGTTTCCACCGCACTATTCACCGATGCAACGCTAGAATCAATTTCCATACTAGACCGAGCCCCGTTGCTAGGTACTGGACTAGTAGGCAATGATGAGACTCGGCTCTGAGGAGACTGGGAAGAGAGATTCGAGGTGTTTTGCTTCACCATAGCTCGAGCTAGACGTTCCTGAAGCCGGTCATTTCTTCGCGCGGTCGACGAACTGCGGGAAACCGCTGAAAGATGTTAGCCAGTTTTACTAGGCCGCACATATGTTGTGAATTTCATACAAGCAATAGGAGCTTTTGTCGATGATGCTTCTCCGCCTTGATTTTCAGTAGGCTTTGCAATAGAGCCGGTCTGGTTTCCCTCCTCATCCATCAAGATATGATCCAGCCGAGACTCGACGCCGGCTACTGCCTGCTGGAAAAAAGAACCCACTCCCCATTTTGACTTTTGTGTTTGCGAGTTCTGCGCCATCGTGGCAGAATCACAGTATTGGAAATTGCGAACAGGCTACTAAGCGGCAGATGCTTCGTGTCGCATTCGTATGATTTGGGTGGGGGCTGCGCTCGGACGTCGACTTGCGACTATCGTGGGGGACGTTTTCAGAGTCAAATTGGCAACAATTCTTGCCAAATGTGTCGAAGCCTAGGTGGCAATGGCAAGGACTTGCCGCGAGGGAGAGATGAGAGAGACTGGCAGGATTTCAACCGAGCTCAAAGTACCAGGTGAAAACCCGAACAAAGATTAAGGCGCTGGATCGACAATACAGTGAACGTGAGGCAAATGACTGGCAGAAGATCTATAGAAACAAGAAGACGATAGAGAAATAGGAAGTGAGAATTAAAATGGAGAGCAAAAACCAAAAGTTGAGGCTATGCGTTGAGATACCGTCGGTCTTGGCACAGGCTTCCGTCATCCCCAAGCTCCCCCGTTTCTCTGGACACACCTTCCAGTTTGTATCGTTCACAGCCGGCTACGCCATTTTTTCTGGCTTCAAATCCCCCAGATAACATTCACAATGTCATTGGAGCCACCCACCTATCTCAGCTCCCTCCAGAATAACATTCGAGCTCGGCCAATTCCATGGGAGGGTGCCGTACGGGCGGGCAACATCACCGATGACCACTTGAAGAAGATCAAGGCGGTGGATAAGGTGCGCAAGGATCAACGCCGCCAGACGATAGAAGGAGACCTTGCTGGATACACAGATCTGTTGGCTGGCGGCGCACAGGGAAAGAGTGTCCTGGACTCGGCCTCTCGAAGGACCGATATCGTGCAGTATATACTGGTGCTGGCTTCGGACTTGATTCAAGGTAGATGCCACTAGTGGAGCTGAAGTTCCGTGGAATTATTTTAACTGGGTCTTCATTAGATGTGCCTTCTCTGGCCAACTCGCTGGTCTCCCACCCAGAACCGTACAAACCTTTCCTACCGTTCCTGCAGCACTCGACAAACGCCGAAGACCCCATTCCTCTGCTCACGTCCACCTTCCTCACGGCACTTGTTTCGCACAGTCTAGTTGCTTCACCCAAACCTGCACGGCGTGACAACGAGGCTCTCCCACAGCTCTACACCTATCTCTCCACCTTGACCAAGAACCAGGACAGTGGGCTCCAGGACATCGGTGTCCAAGGATTCTCAGAGCTGCTGAGAACAAGCCGAGCTCGGGAGATATTTTGGGCGCAGCGTCAAGAGACCTTGGTCCCTTTGATCGACACCCTTCGAGCTGCGGCGGGAGCTAAAGACAACATCAGTAACGCAAGCACCCTGGGAGGCAGCACTCGCAACGTCGAACCTGGTCTCGCCGGTGGTGTTGGTCTCCAGCTTCTATACCGGGTGCTCCTTGTTTTGTGGCAGCTTGCGTTTGAGGGCGCTCTCATTGGCGAGGAACTTCAAGAGTAAGTGATTCGACGACAAACGATAGCTTTGCACTCTGAGCGCCTACTGATTTCACATAGGAACTATGAAATAATCCAACTCTACATCCACCTTTTGCGTCTTTCACCCAAAGAGAAGACCACTCGCTTGCTTGTCGCAACTCTGTACAGTCTTTGCTCCAGCAACCGGACGACTTTGCTACCAATCGCCGTGTTCCTCAGGCTTCCCGCCCTTCTGACCAACTTGGCTAGCCGTCACCTGACCGACCCCGACCTGCTCGAGGATCTCAGCGCGTTGTCTTCAATGTTGGATGAGTACACCAAGACACAAACCACGTTTGACGAATATGCCGCCGAAGTTCAGACGGGCCACCTGCGTTGGTCGCCCCCGCACAAAAACCCGACCTTCTGGAAAGATAACGCTCGCCGAATCGTTGAGGAAGCGAACGGCGCTTTGCCCAAGAAACTAGCCGAGATTTTGTCCAAGAGTTGGGATAACGACAAGCAGGTACTAGCTATTGCTTGCAGCGATGTAGGGCATTTAGTGAAGGAGGTTCCCGAACGCCGTGGGCAGTTAGAGCGACTAGGACTCAAGACGCGGGTGATGGAACTGATGGTTGATCAAGATGAATCAGTGCGATGGGAGAGCTTGCACGCCGTCGGTGAATGGCTTCGATATACTTTTGAGGGCTGATCCCGCACAAGGGGAGTTTTCTGATTGCCTTCCAGGATGAACATATAGTGTGATTTGCATGTACTGTGTATTTTCTTGCCAAAGCGCACATTCGCTTTCTACTTGAGGGGATTTAGAATCATACTTACTCATTTATGAAATTTATGGCCCCTTGTTTTTGATCTTCTCCAACCGGTGGATCTTGCGATCTACCGCAAAAGAACCCAAGATGTGCAATAGTGCGACAAGACAAGAACACAAGCTACCCCTTGATCAGTTTCTATAGAATCCAAAAAAAAACTTCAACCCCTTGTTGCTGTTCCCCAGAAATTACATTTGCAATGCGGGCCGGTTACGTCTGGGGAGCTTTCCATTTCCCCGCAGGAATTCTTGGCTGAACACATCATCCCACCAGCCCACAGCACCCATGTCGAGGTCCTTCACAGGTTGCAAGAGATGTAAGGCCCGCCGGCAAAAATGTGACGAGCAGAGGCCGAACTGCGGTCGCTGCCGGACTGCAGGTGAGCAATGCCAATATTCAATGCAGTTACAGTGGGGTGGACGGGCGTTCTCGCGCTCTCGGTTTGGTGCTTGCGTCGGGACAGGAGGCATGCAGAGACTTGGTATGTACTTTAAACCAAAGGGGCTTTGTAAATCATTCTGATCATTCCAGAATATTCACCCGGAGAATTCATCTACACCACCAAGACGGCGGTGCAGTCAGCCAGCGCCAGAGTCAGATCAGATCTCACTCTGTCGCAACCCGTCGATCCTTTTTCATTTTTGTCGTCCAGCCAAAAGGCCTTATTACACCATTTTATAAAAGATGCCTCTCAAATCACTGCGTGCCATTCAGGCATGCAGCAGGACATATGTCGCATGCTGATCCCAATGGCTCTTCAGACACCCTCCTTACTCTACGCTACCATGGCCCTATCGGCAATCCATATCCAAGCACTACACAACCAGTCGGAGAGCGTAAAATCTGCACCGGAGATTGCCCGGCTCATGGCTCTCAGTCTTGAACATTTCCGAACGGAGCTGCAGAATCCCTCATCCAAAGACCCGGAGGCGTTGGTAGCGACGGCTCGGACGCTCTGTCTAGCTGAAATACATTCCGGGGCGATCAACCCGAACTCGTGGAGAGCACATATTGACGGGGCACGGGCATTGATGAGGGCATCGGACGCCGCTGGTGAAGATTCTCTGCGGTCTACCAGCAGTTTCCGACGGTATTTAGATCGTTGGTATTGGTCAATCGTCTCTCTTACGGCACTAACGGGCAATGGTCCACCCATTGGAGATCTTTCAGACTTCGCCTTCTCTGACTTGATGGGTTTAGGCGGGTCTCCTGATTATCTAGATGACTATTGGGGGTTCAGTGTGGACCTTGCAGCTGTCTTTAGGCAGATCGGCGCTGCTGCCTGGCGAAGCCATGAAGTCGAGGAGAATTTGCAGGGCTTTGTTGCAATAAAAATTGACAGCATTGTTGCGGATGATGCCGAATCATTGGAGTTCGCAGTTCGACTGCTCATGAATCGTGACTCGAGCTCGCAGCCCTCCTTTTACCCCAGGGCCGCAGAAGGGTTATCTGCGGAGAGTGCGCAGCAGCTCCTACTGTGTAATCAGGCGTTCCAACACAGTGCGCTTATTCAGATCCACCGACGACTTCGGAAAACACCAACTACGTCGCCAGAAGTGCAACAGTCGGTCCAGCGTATCCTGGAGTGCACCGCACAGATTGGACCATCTTCAGGTCTCTCGCCCTGGGTGATGTTAACAACACCAATCTTTATTGCGGGCTGCGAGGCGCGCGGTCAAGATCGAGATACAGTTAGGCAACTGCTGTCATCTTTGCATGACACCATTCGCGTTCCGAACGTTCTTCAGTCTTTGAGATTCCTTGAGCAGTACTGGTCCAACCAGCTGAGTGACGAAGACTGGTGCCACTTTCTCGGTAATAACTTTTTCAAGTCATTCTTCGGTTATGCTAACATCTGATTCATAGAACGAATGCAGTTTGATTTTATCCCTTACTAGGTAGACCATTCGGCCAAAGCCTGTTATACCTCATGTGCAATGATCTATGCTTTTGAGTTCGAATTACATGTATAATATCTTCTTTTGTTGTACTATAACTTTTTTTCATCAACGAGTCGATGTTAGCAGAGGGTTTGGCGTGCATACGTATTTAGCCCTGGCATTTGGGTGCTGTGGCCAGTGACGAATTTCTTTCTAGGCAATTTGCACATAAAGTCTTCTCCTTTTGAATATAACCCCTTTCTCTGGATTAAGCTATGTTCAAAAGCTCAACACACGAGTATTAGCTCGACTGAAGTGAAGCGAAAGACGCCAAGGATTTCAAAGACGGAGCTAAGCAAGAGATGTAAAGATGGGGACTTAGCAGCTAGACTCCGGATATCAAAAACCCTTGCATATGACGCGATGATTCTTAAATTTACATGTGGATTTTTGGTTCCAAATATGGGAAAAAAAAATAGCATTTCATAACATTATACGTATCCGGGTTGCGTGAAATTCGAACCCATCATCAATCCATGGACTATGGGTTGGAATTCAGAAAACGTGTATGTTGTAAATTGGTAGACAGAGGAAAAGAATCTAGGAAATGGATCATCTTGAAATGAGGGTTCTTAAAATATCCTTTGGGACCATAGCTTGTCAATCTTTAACTTATATCTATCCACAGAGAGTGTTTATATCCACAGGGACGTAGGGACTCATGATATCAATCAGCTTCGAGAGAGGAACCCAGTCAAGAAGACCATGGATACTTCGTATAGGATGGCCACTATACAAAACACGGACGTAGAAGGAGTTCTCATCCGTCCAATCTTTCGTCTCCCTGGAAGAATGTTAGAGAATCCTAGCGCATTCGACAACATTTTGACTCACCAAACTTCGAAAGCAATGTTGGATGCCATGGCGGGCCATCGAAGCGTCTTGATTCCCAAAGAACCTAGGATAGGACCGATATCCCCATCATGGATAAAGAAGTGGCTGTAATCAAGGAAAGACTTCCCGTCCAGGACAGCTTGCAGACGAGAAACAATCTCACCAATAAACAAGCCCTCAACAACCTGGATATACTTGACTACATCCGGGTTCGTGCGCCAGTAGTAATTCCACTCCCAATCACCGGCACGGAAGACCTCCTCAGCCATCTTCATCGTGACACAGGCCGAGGAGTTTGACAAACTGCAGGGCAGATCATAGCCGTTGCAAAGGCGACCCTGGAAGTTATCCGAAAAGTGGTCAAAGGTACTCTGCCACGAACTCTCTGTAGCGCCTAACATAGCGCCCAGCTTCGAGCGCAACTGCTCGGTGACTGCTAGATGCTCTTTCCATTGCGTGGTAGACTGTAGACTCAATAGCGTAGAACTGACAGCAGGGCAAGAGTACCCCTCATTGACAGTATCGACAGAAGAAGTCATCTGGTGTAGGGGAAGAGCTCCCTTGTAGTGAGGCCATACGCCACGCAGGACCGCACCAGCCGAGGCCTGGGTGAGAGCGGACCCACTGGAGCGGAACCAGACGCGGCTGTTTGGCTTCTCAGGAATCAAGCCAAGCCTTTTGCCGTAGACGTCCCACAGGTCCTTGCCGTGTTGGTATCCATCCTGTACTCCTCCGATGGTGATCTGGGGGTACTGACAGGTACCGTTCACGACGGCCATGAAGGGATTGGTGGGGTCCTGATATGTCTGCGCATACATAGGCATGGGCTGGATGCCGCTTGCGCTGTTGGGGCCTGCGTAGAGATATGGACGCACATCATCGCAGTGATATGCTTGGTTCTAGGGAACGGAGTTAATTTGGACTGAGAGTTGATCCGAGAGTTGCTTACCTCCCCACCTGGAAGAATGTTGTACGGAGTTCGACGCTGGTGGCGCTGTAGATACTCCAGGTACACAAGCTTTCCCTTAGTTGAGCCGTTGGTCAGAGCCTCGGGCAGCTCGTACTCCTCTGAGCGAGGATGCGGCATGGAACAGTAGTCGTAGGTGCCGTAGGGAATGCCCTCGGTCGGACCTTGGGTTGGAGCTTCATAGATACCACCATATGTGCCAATCGAGCTGTTGCTGATGTATGATGTATCATTCAGTGTTGGGGGATAGAAGGTGTCCCCCGGGGTTTGACCCAGTACTGAGGCCGCCACGGAAAGCAAGACAAGGTTGCGCATGATGGGGATAAGCTTGGGTGAGAAAAACCAGATCTGTCGGAGACCTTCGAATATGTAGATTTCCGAACTAATTGCCAACAAACCCAAGACGAGAAACAAAATGAAGCTCCACCGCAGTCGCACCAGTCGCAACCTAGCAATCAGTACACGTGGAGTCATTAAGCCAACCTGGGGAGTGCCAGCCATGTGGCTCTACATAACATAGCCAACTTTGGGCTAAGCGACTATTCTCAGCATCGAACGGGTTTTGGTTAAGGTGACCGACAGGCCACATCCACTGTTCCCCGATGTTTCCGGTCTTGGGTCTTGGCATCGACACCCCCTCCAGGACATTATGACAGAAATCTGACTGTATGAAATGTATTGGTTGAAATGATAGGGTATCAAATTCTCTGACTAACTAAAAATGACAAAAATCCCCTATTTAACGTATTCGGTAAGCGAGCTGGCCACCCTACCCAAGCTACTAATTTCAAATACATACAACTCAACCACTACATTAAATTAAATACACTAAAATGATCTATTCTCTGGACATGTATTTCTTTCATGGCCCTGATTTTTACATAGCCCGCATGTTAGTAATGCTCTCGTTCGGGGCTGTAAAGGTGGCGAAGGCCTTCTCTGCCGGCGGGGGGGGGAGGCGCTTCAACCGCTTCAACCGGCTCGGTAATCAATTGAGAAGCTTCAAGAACTGAGAGGCCTTCTTTAGTAGGTATCTACCTCCGGGATCTAGTACGCTTTTGCTTCTACTTCTCGTTAGCGGCGCGTAAATCCTTGTTTTCTTTGGCGAGTAAGATAGCACCTTGTATTGTAAGACGGAAGCCTTTTACAAGCTAGTTTAATGCACGATCTAACGGGCTAGGCGGGCTTCGAGATCTTGTACGAAGTAAAGCTTTGATTGATAAAGCTTAACGACGTAGTTCTTTCTCCGTAAAGGGGGTTTTTAGGGTAAAATTCCGGCTTAATTCACTCCCCCGGCTAGCTAGGGGGGTTAGGTGTTACGGACCTACCCGTCACCAATCAGTGGTGCCCCACCGGGTACACAGATGGGCCACCAAGAGCCAATAGATCTATCTGTCAGCAGATCACGTGCAACACTGTATACCCTGGCGTTCCCAGGTATCGAAGGAAAAGGAAGTCCCGATCATGCTCACTGAGCAAGAGCATGATCCACCCTGAGTTGGACTAAAGTCTGGTGTGTATGTACCTCGATACATCAGCAACACCCTTTGGGACAACAAGGACATCACGTGACCATGGCCCCA